CGTGGGGGAACTATGGCCCCTTCATGACTCGTGGACTTCAACTCCCAGAATTCCTGAGCCAGCATAGGGGAACTATGGCCCCTTCATGACTTGTGGACTTCAACTCCCAGAATCCCTGAGCCAGCATGGGGGAACTGTGGCCCCTTCATGACTCTTGGACTTCAACTCCCAGAATCCCTGAGCCAGCATAGGGGAACTATGGCCCCTTCATGACTTGTGGACTTCAACTCCCAGAATTCCTCAGCCAGCATGGGGGAACTATGGCCCCTTCATGACTCAGTGGACTTCAACTCCCAGAATTCCTGAGCCAACCCTGGCTCAGCTTGGAAACCTCTCCCTTTCCCCTCAGCATGGCTGGCTCAGGAATTCTGGGAGTTGAAGTCCACGAGTCATAAAAGAGCCAAGGTGGCCTACCCCTGTGCTAGTGGAATGATCAAAGTGGGTGACATAAAGATTATTTTATTATTATTTATTTATTTTTATTGAAAACAAATTAAATAGGAAGCCGGCATTAGGCCCCCGTAACTCTCCCTCCTTGCAAACTAGCCTAACACGAGTGATGATGCCCATTGGGTTGCCATTTTGCCACTGGGAAAATATCTCTGGCAGGCACCCATTTTGTGAAGGCGCTCATGACCTGCTTTCAGAAGTCCACGTGTGGCAGGGACTGCACAGGTTGCCTATAGAAAAAAGTCTTGACTGGTCTGCTCTAAAGTTAAATATTGCAGACGGGAAGAACTGCAGGGACTTTAAAATCACCCATCTTGACAGGGCAGAGACTGTTTAAAAAAATGACATGTCTTTTTTTGCCCCCCTTATATCTGCATCCAGGAGCGATCATCTGTTATCAGTCATATATGCACCATCATTTAACATAGACAGATTGATTTAATCTCTTCTGGAGATGAGAAACCTGCCACACTAAACTTAAACTGAAAGTGGGAAAAATTAGACTTTTTTTTTGGGTATTAGACAGCTCATTTCCTTTGCCCATTTTGGATTAAAAAAGGAAAAACCCAAAAGTATATAAAAAAAAACATTTCCCCTCTTCTTCTCCTTTGCGAGAAAAAGCTGCCAGGTTTTGGGTTTTTTTTACGTTTGAAATGGTTCTTTTCAGACTATGGTACTATAGGTTCTCCTGCTTGAGCAGGGGGCTGGACTAGAAGATCTCCAAGGTCCCTTCCAGCTTCTATTCTATTCTATTCTATTCTATTCTATTCTATTCTATTCTATTTCTTATTCTATTCTATTCTATTCTATTCCTCGTTATTCTATTCTATTCCTCATTATTCTATTCTATTCTATTCTATTCTATTCTATTCTATTCTATTCCTTTCTTATTCTATTCCTTTCTTATTCTATTCCTTTCTTATTCTATTCCTTTCTTATTCTATTCTATTCTATTCTATTCTATTCCTTATTCTATTCTATTCTATTCTATTCTATTCTATTCTATTCTATTCTATTCTATTCTATTCTATTTCTTATTCTATTCTATTCTATTCTATTCCTCGTTATTCTATTCTATTCCTCATTAAAGATAAGATAAGATAAGATAAGATAAGATAAGATAAGATAAGTATTCTATTCTATTCTATTTCTTATTCTATTCTATTCTATTCTATTCCTCGTTATTCTATTCTATTCCTCATTATTCTATTCTATTCTATTCTATTCTATTCTATTCTATTCTATTCTATTCTATTCTATTCTATTCTATTCCTTTCTTATTCTATTCCTTTCTTATTCTATTCCTTTCTTATTCTATTCCTTTCTTATTCTATTCCTTTCTTATTCTATTCTATTCTATTCTATTCCTTATTCTATTCTATTCTATTCTATTCTATTCTATTCTATTCTATTTATTTCATTTCATTCTATTCTATTCTATTTATTTCATTTCATTCTATTCTATTCTATTCTATTTATTTCATTTCATTTCATTCTATTCTATTCTATTCTATTCTATTCTATTCTATTCTATTCTATTCTATTCTATTCTATTCTATTTTTCTATTCTATTCTATTCCAAGTATTAATATTTGCATTATGCATACGTACATAGAATATTTGTCACTGC